GGCTTCGGCATAGCGAGCCGTCGACGCAGCGAACCTTTCGGCACAAAATAAAAACAATCGGCATAGCGAACCCTCGGCATAGCGAACCTTCGGCATAGCGAACCCTCGGCACAGCGAACCTTCGGCATAGAGAAGCGCACCCTTTATTTGCTAAGATTTGTAAAATTGATGGAGCAAGGGATGAATTACTTGCTATAATTCACGAAATAAGCCCTCCTGTATCCACCTAGTCCATCAAGTTTTTGTAGTAAATCTTTTCCACAGAATCGACCTTTAATCAAGACAATGACTCAAGTGCACATGAACCAGCTGGGGCTCAACGGCAAGCACATTTATGGCCCCATTTCCATAAATATTTCAGAGCATTTCCCTTTTCTGCTAAAACAAAGCCAGTTACGAGTTTAGGGTCTTTTAGGTAGCAGTCTCCTCGAGCAAATGTTGTCATGACAATTTTACTGAACATGACCCATGCAGTCTACTACATTATCTGTAGGTCCATCATTTGTTTAACGCTGTAGGGCTTATATTACAAGGTTGAGATTATCTTACAGACTATCCAATTTTAGCAGTCTAACCTAACAGCAGCCAAAACACACAGAGCCCAGACTCAATAATTTATGGAGTTTTAGTTCAAAATCCTTGGGTGTGATTAGGAAGGTGGGAAGGTGGGAAGGGGGGGGGAGGGGCTGGACGGGATTTTTTTAAAAATTGTATGTTTAAATTATTGGAAAATAAAAGAATTATGTCCATCTTCAAACAGTTGTAATATTTTGGACAGTGGTCTGAGCTCAAAAGAGTTTTCCATCAAACGACCACCCCGCCTACTACCAAGTCTCAATAATTCATGAGACGATCTAATCTAGTGAGCAAAAAAATATGGAGTCATTACATCATAAGTCTGTAGACAAATCTTTTATGTTCATATCAAGTAGACTTTGCAGTAGCAAAGCTTCCTTTCATTCCCTGAGCAACAGAATAAAATCAATGCCCATCTCAAAGCTACATGAAATCAATATAATCTAAGTGAAAGAGTAAATAGCATGGTTACATCACAGCTCCGTCATGCATACGATATATAGATACATATACAACTGAAATATAGATAAACAATCGTCTGTTTGTGAGTGTTTACATGGATTTGCAAGAGCAATGTTGGGGAAAAAAGGTCTAAGAGTATGAATGCACTTTGCTGTAAAGGTTTCCACAAGGTTTAAATACAAGGTGTGTGCGTGTGTGCTTGCATGTACAGGAGTGTTGGCGACAAAAGTTGGTCGCGTGTATGTGATTGCTTATTAATATTAGAAGGGGTGGGAGGCAAAATTGCTAACGCACGCTTGCTCATGCACTTGCACGTGAAATTCCCTGATCAATACCAAACTAGTGCGCTGAAAGAAAAAAGTAACATACACACAATAACAAACATAATGCTATTACATTCGTGATCTTCTCAGATATATCCTAGTGGGTGTCCAATTGCTAAAAAAAATTCAGCCAGTAGTTTTCATTTTTCTTGTAGTCTCAAGGAAGCATCTTGCAATGTCTGGTTAACAGAAATAGCTAAAATGCCACTGAGCAGCCTGCTAACCACAATGAGGCCGACCTTTCTGCTCCGACAACCATTGGCAGTCTCTATAATTATCTGCCACTCTCTCTGCCGCGCCAATATCAGCAACCAGATCTGAAACCACTTCAGTGCAGACACCTTAATTCCAGGTGTTATAATAATGCATAATTCAGAAGTCCCGCCATGAAATGTAAAAGACCCCCCATGAATATGCTCATTTGTTCATCCTATCTGGCTCTTACACAAACCACAAAATGGCTGAAGCACTTGAGTGGTCTGAAAAATATTTGGATGTCAAACCACGATGTGAAATAACTGACACACTGCTGCTTAATCTCTTGAGAGAAAAAATTGTTAAGAAACTGTTCAGAATAAGTTATGAGGACCTAGCTAATGCGGATTTACTCCATGGGACTCCTGCTGAATGCAGTCAGATTAACAGACATTATAAATTGGCATAAAAAGACTACACATTACTGTTTGAATTATTCTGAACCAACTTAAGTAGTATCCCTTTTTAAAAATGCAAGTACTAAAACACACTTCATCAGATATTTATTTCACAGGCCTACACAATGCGACTATTCATGCAAACCACAAACACGTTATCATCTAATCATAATGTCTCAATGTTGTCCTCAGTCGACCTCTGATATTTCGGTGCAACACACGGTCACCTGTTACTGGTAACTCAAAGTTCAACATTTTACCTTTATGCATACTATGAAATGTGAATTTTGTTAAAAGGTGTTCATCTGGACAAATATAAAAAACAAAAAGCTGAAGGTATTTTTTAGTCACTTTGACAAAGATATGTAAAGATGTGTATTCTATTGTTTGTGCTTTATCAAGAAAAAAATCCACCATGAAATCCGCTTATGTCACCAATCTTTATTGAAATTATTCAGTCCAACTAGCAGTCATTTTTTCTATCAATTAACCTTCCAAGTCACCCCACTACAAATCCTACCCACAATGAGATTATCTGGGCAATAAGCTTTACTAAGAAACGTGCAAATTTAATTGCAATTATAAAGCATCATATCAACAGAATGGCTCGCATGTAACAGTTACTAATCTTTATACAATAATAATTTCACGAAACTGTATTCAAACAGGGAATAACAGGATATAAGTTATTAACACATAATGAGCAATTAGGTCCTCCTTCCTTTTTTTTCAGTTACAGTAAACACTCTTCAGTGTTTTTATATATTTTAATGACCACGTCAGATGCCTCTCCCAAATATGCACCCCCCCCCCCAAAAAAAAATAACAATAACAGTAAAATAAGCATAAATGGCAGACAAGGTGAAAGATAGTGGGACAGTAAAAGCTATTAAGGGCAGACACTCCTGTTGAGCACTTTGCTATCATTCCAGGTCATCAGTAGACAAAGCTACACAGGCGTCCACACCTGTCTGTGGTTAAAATGCAGATGGCTGTCTTGAAGACGACATACACCTCCTTCCTCCCTCCCTTTACAAACAAATTAACTGTCTACATTCCTCTCTTCCTCCCTCTCTCTCTCTTCTATCCTCTTGGTTGTCTGCAAAACTTCCTCCCCTCCCCTCCCCCTCTTTCTTTCTTAGGTTATTCGATTCAGATCATTTCAGTAGCATTAGAACTAGCATAGACAGCCAACAACATGAGAAGCTGCATAAATTATGATTATTTCAGAAAAACATTTTATAGGTCATCTACTCAGAACATAACTGTCTCTAATATTGACAGAACATTTAAGCCTACCTAACCACTCAGTTTTTCTTCCAAAGGGGTATTTAGAATGGTAACAAACTAAAATGACATTACCAGAGGAAAAGCTATTGGCATGATCTTTTTTGTTTGTTTTGCTTTGTTCAAAATCCTAAAGAACCAGTAAACTCCTTATGCATGCTAGCAGTTTGGTAATCTCATAAAAACTGTTTGGCTTAAAATAGTTCTGCTCCGCTCTTAACTTTAAACTGGTTTTGTGGCTGACGACAGTAAAATAGCCCTTTGAAAATTGGCCCAGTGCCTTCAGTGAACAAGTGTTAATTTGTGTTGAGTAAGACTAGCCGAAAGATATGTTATTAGCATTGCAGTTACTGATCATGTTATTTATCGCTTTGAGTTCCGAGGCATCTGCTATCAGTGTTGTCCTTCAAGGAATGGACCCAGGCAATAAAATTACTTTCAACTGGTTCAGAAAAATGGATGTAGGAATATCAGGAATTTGCTGAATAAGTGGATGTGAGGAAGGGGTGAAATTTATATATTTTTTTTAATGGATTTTATCTCAAAATTCTGGATGACAAATTTGCATTACAAATATATATATAGATATATTTTTGTTAGTTATCAAAAAACATGATGGAAATTGGGGGGGGGGGGGGGCCACCGCCCTCTTCACCCAAAAAGGCGTGCTATGAATCAAATTAAAATTTAAACTTTATGCCATTTTTAAAGACCAGTAAATTAAAGAGAGTTAAAATGTCCATGTTTTCCGAAGAAATAATTTCCCAACTTTGAACCTGCTTGCTACAGGCCTAGTAATACTTTTTGTGCCATTTCAAGACTTCAACCTTGAGATTACTATCACTGACCTATAACTATAACAGACAGGCTAACAGACATAAATCACCCCCTGGTGTAGTTTTACTAATGAAATGAAATGATATATTTTCCGTGCTTTTCTTGCCAGCACACCACTGATTAGAAGACCAGAAAACCACAAACAAAGGAATTTTAAATAATACAGTGATCATAATGACAAAACCATGGAATAAAATGGACTATGGTGCCACTAGGCCTCTAAAGTATAGACACTTACCTCTTTCCTCTTGAGGCTTGTATTGAATCGATCTTTCATTCTCTCCAGGATACTCTGTAACTTGTCCTTGCACTCTTGGTCCTTGGACAACAACAGATAGGATCTCCAGTTGGCAGAATCGAACCCCCAGTGACAGGTCCTATTCTCCAGGGCTTTGTGCGAGTGCCCCACGAATGTCATCACGCTGAACAGTCCGTGACAGTCGCAGCACTCGATGCAAGGGGAATCCGGCGAGGTGTACATCTCGGGGTTGAAAATCCCCTTGCACTTCCCGAAACATTCGTGGTACACCTTAAAGCTGTTGGGGGAGGGCGGCTCGCCTGTGCGCTCTGGTGAACGGTGCAGGAGAGCGTTACAGAGCCTCTCCGCGTCCGTTTTTGTGATCAGTCCGCAACTTGGTGCGGGAAAGGGGAGGATCCCTCCCATTTTCAGGCTCTGCAGCTGCTCCAGGCTGCAGCGCGAACAGTAAATATGCAGCTCATCGCAGACGCTGTTGATCTGCTGAAGGCTGAAGTCCCGAAGGACTGTGTTTAGGATTTGCGGTAAACAGAGTCGTTTCTCTCCACCTACAACGAAACAAGCAATGGTCTCCCCTTCCAACACCGTATCCGATCGCTCGCCCTTGGCAACGTCTATGGGGGTGAATACGGGCATGGATTGAACAGGAAAGGGTGGGGAAGCGTACACAGAGTCATACTCACATTTCACTAGTGTACGCTCCTGTTTTAAGGCTTCCGTGACCGCCTTTCTGTACTTCTCCAGTTCGACGTGATCCGCGCTTGTCAGTTTCGCTGGATTCCACGCGGCCGTGTATCCGCTCGGGCCGCTCAAACTGCGTATCGCTGCGTCCTGATAACATTTCAGTACTCTCTTAAGGTGTGGATTGTACGACTCCGGGACAATCGCATCCATACTTTTGCTTAAAACGCTCTAGATTTGCGGTAAACTCTCTCGCTCCTTTCTCGCATGTGTCTGTATACGTCAATGGCTTCCGTAAGGCTAAAGCTCTCGTCTCGTCATGAGCTAATTTGCATAGGTATGGCTGTTCCGGCTGGGCGTCACAACCCCCCGCAAACTGTCTGTGGTTTTCTTTTGCATTATTATTATGTTACATGTGGTAGATATATTCACTTTTGTAATGCTAGAACATTTTTCAAACTATTAAGATATAGTTACACGATACTTATGGCGGATGAACGTAACAGCTAGGGTGTTTATTTACATGCTATTCAGACACCCTCCCTCCGTATCCCTAGAACAATATTACTAGGGCATTGCGCATAATTTTCACCTATTTTCCATGTGGGTCATATGTACAAGCAAAAAACACATCCCTGATTTGGTGCAGTTGTTTCGCTTTTCAGGGACGGCAACCTTTCCGGTGATTCGCGCGTTTTTGATGATATTGTTTTGTCTAGACGGTCATCCAAGTGAGACTAGACGGTAATTACCACTGACCTAGCTGACGTCAGCGATGACGTTTCGGCTGGTGGACTCGGTATAAACATTCAGTGGTATTGATTTCTGGCCAACAGATTTCCATTGACCTAGTTCTCGTTTGTTATATAATATTTCCATTCGCCAAAGCTGAAAAGCGGTATCAATATCTGAAATATAACACCGCCAGTACACGAGGGGAAACGGAGCGTGAATCGTAAACAACGAATCATGGAAATACGTTTCTAACTACAACCTGTCTTGGATAATTATGTAAAAACCTGCAACAGCCAGACGGAGCGGTTTGAATGTAAACCGTCTTGTTTTCGCTTTTGTGTTCCTCACGTGATTGAAATATAGCTTGTTGATTACATTTAATCTGGTTAAAAAGAGGTCATTAAAATACGTTTGAAATGGTTAAAGACTCGACCGTGTTTTGTCTGCGCAATTATAAGCGGTAGATCAGTAGATGGTATCAATGGTCATTTCCATCCTTCACGACCTCATCAGCTGTTTTGATACGTTCAACCCGCTTCGTTCTCGCCCAAATGCTTTTGCAGAGAGAGAGAGAGAGAGAGAGAGAAAGAGAGAGAGAGAGTATTTAAAAAATTATAAAATTCACGATAGAAAAAGAAAAAAGTTGCCGTGGTTAGATATTTGTATTCAATTAAATATTTGAATGATATGAATTNCCTTCGTTTGATCTCTTTCAGGTCCGTGCGGCGCTCACGCGCAAGTTCCGCCACTGGCGAGATCGGCGGAGCATCAGTTTGGGAACGAGGTCAAGTCGAGCATCGGTTGGGAGTCGACCCAGTTTTCCGCTTGTTTCCCCAACTGGGAATAGTTCATCAGTCGGAGGCCGTGAGGAGGATGGGAGTTCCAAAACCATAAAAGAGACAGAATTCCTGCTCCACCGAAACAGTAGGGATAGCAACTTCAATGTGCGAGGGGGGATATCAGAAGAGCTCACCATTGCTGGTCTGTTGAGTAAGGAGACGAGGGCCAAGTGCTTTGATATTTTGGAAGTGTAAATGACTTTTGTCAGGTACTGCTACAGTGAAGGCGTACATGTAAAGGGTATTTTTGAATATGGAAAGAAGAAAATGAATCAATAGGCACCTTGTATAGTTTTTTATTTAAAGAACGCGGTTTAGAGAGAATCAGCTTCGTTGAAACCGAAAGGAAATATGTTTTATAATTGACTTACAGCGTTATCGTATGTACACTTTTTATTGTAAAGTACTCTTGTATATGTAAAACAATACGGACATCATTCAGAACAAACAATGTGTTTTTAAAACTACATGATATTCTCTTGATGTCGTGAGACCTTTGTTAAGAGAACGATGTAATGCACTGGGAATATAAGCTGACGGAAAGCGCAAAAGAACGTTTCTGTTTAAAAAAACGCTTTAACGGCAGATACATTGTGTACTACCGTTGTATGTTTGTGCGGGTTTTCAAGGCGGTAAATCTTGCACCGCCACAATCATAATTGCGCTGGACGACTGCCCTGACACCTTGCGTCGTTCTCAGACACTGATGCGAAGAGGATTTATTTCTTTGCTGCGTTGCTGCGAATTCCGTACTTGAGGACCCTTTCGAAATCAAGCTTGTTTGGTTTTTTAAATGTTGCGCACATATATATATTTTGTTTGTTGAACAAACGTCTTATACACTTATACATTATGTAGACGGGGTGCAGAAAAGATACCGGTTTTATACGGCATTTATGTGGTTGTGAAATTATTATTTAGATTAAGCTTTAAAACATATGGTGATAAAGTGTTTTCAGTTAAGCCTCCTACAACTTACCATCAACACGTTTCTTTATGAACAGAAACGTTTGTTAAGAATTCAGATTTTGAATGAATATACTGTTACGTGTAATTAAATATAATGTTGTACAGGTACGAGAGAGAGAGGGGGGCTTTATACATATTGTATCTATTGTTGTTTTATATACTGGTATACAATTTTCTGAACCTACTTGTAAACCAATGCTATAAGAAAAAGCAAATTCCAGTTGAATTGCCCTAATGTAAACAAAAGTAATAAACCTTTCAAAGAATAACCTGAAACGAAAATTGGAAAACGTGTTCTGTACGTGTCATTAAGTACGGAGAACCACCGATAGGGGCCGACACCTATTAAGGTGCCATTCTGCCGTCATTTATTATTTTTAATAAGTATATTTATTAATGATATCGAAACACTTGTTTGTGGACAATACAATACGCGGTCTCTTTAAGACATTTATCATTGTAATGGAAATCAATGTAAATCATTGATATTGTAGCTATTTACATGTCATTGGTTAAAATACAACTTCTACAGGTAAAATGAACGGAACAGCGCTGCATTTGTTGGGTTATGTTACAACATAACAGGTGGTTGTTTATTTGACACTTATGAGTTATGGACATAGTAATAAAAACATTTCGATTACATACGTTTAGAAAGATTTTTGAGCAAATTGCAATTTGGCCCGGAAATTGTATTTAAGTATTTTTTAAATTTTTTATTGCAACCATCAAAAAAGGAATAAAACAAGAAGTGGCCTTGTCAAAAGATTGAAAATGACTTTTTTTCTTTCACAAGATACCGTCTTCCCAATCCTATCACTCCTATTATAGAAGTTTGATGTTGAATTGTATCTAAAATGTTCTTTCATGGGTCCTAACATCTTAGCTGCATTCTCCCTCCATCACCCTGAGTATCACAGTACGGGGCTGTCTTGTCTCTGACCAGTATGCTTCGCTTTTCAGGATAAGGTGATGATAATAATTTGATCTCACATTACTCAACATACGCAACGACCAGGTTCCTAGCTATTTGCAAAGAATCTCATTGGGTTAACTGCGTGTATCACTGTACCTTAGGGCGCATTCCATAGATTTTAGATCGATCTATCTCACTAGATTACTGTCAAATAATCCGGCTTAAATGTCCGTCCCGCCTACTACAAGCTGTAAGGGGGTAATTAACTTTCGTGCTCGCTCGGCCGACAGCTATTTAGCGTGAACCCCCAGTCGATCTAGTTGGATCGATCTAACTTCTGGGAACGGGGTCTTGTTTAAACTGTTAAAATTTAATTGCCAGCCACGTAAAGTTGACTCTGCTGCATTGGTCTAAAAGCATCACGTGAATAGCAAGGCTGCTGAACGATATTTGTCTTCTAACGCAAATTAAGATCACTTCAATCCCGGGAGAACAGGTCTCCAAGACCTCGAAGTGCAGATTCTGTTCAGATTTTTCTAGTAGTATGTCATTTATTTTTTACTAATGAAGATTACTATTGATGATTTAATTTCAATAACCATCAAGAAGTATTTTGATTAACGCCATGCTATAAACTTCATCTAAAAAATTCAATTTTGGCGAGGTTGCAAACTGCCTGCTATCGTCGAGTCTTATTGCTTCACTTCTCAGTAATTGGAATTGTTGCTAAAAAGCAGAAATACAGAAATGCAATATTATTTTTACTTTGACAGATGGAGGATATTCTTGTCAAGGGGAGGTTCTTTGGGGCGTCATAAAACACTTTTAATGTAAAGGGAATCCCCTTACAATAATTACTGTAGCACAGAATAATATATGTAAATGTCATTTTAGCAAAGTCTGTTGGATTTAGTTTTTTATACATACGTTCAACAAAATTGTCCAATATACTTTTCCAAACGACACCGCAAAGCAAATTAAATCAAATAAACCAGACGGATAACACTGGCAGGATTTGACAACTTTGCTATTTTGTTTATTTTGGACATGCGCAGATGTTTGGTATCTGTGCTGGTTTCAACTCGTCAGTCAACATTTTTCGTGTTTGCCAAGGTCATTCTGTGGTTTTCAGCAGTGAATACAGGTAAGGTTGGGTGTTGTTATTATTCACTCTGCACACGAAACATAAAATAAAGCATTGTGGTTGCCTTGTCCACTGAAAAGAAAACATTATGAAAACCGGAATTTCTCCTATATCAGCACATGGAGTAAAATGAGGCGAATTCAGTAAATATAAATGTATTTGGTGTGATAAAAAACATTTTTGTACTTCATTATATCAATAATGGCACCGCTTTGCATCATAATGTAGCCGTATATCTAAGCAACTACGCGGCAACTCTACCCGACCGAACCCAAACCAAAACCAACTCGACAACGCCACGCCACGCCAGTCATCATGAGGGTGTCATGGAGTTTACGCGTCCTTCTGTCCGTTGCTTATGTTACCTGTGCGTCCAGTTACTCTAGTTACCAAACGACAGGTAATCCACGGCGCGCGATCGACGATGACGACGAGAAGCTCAGCCTTTTGGAGGAGGTACTTAAGAAAATTATAGATGATTCGCATGATGTAGATGATTTCCAAGACGACAAGGAAAACGACGACGATGGGCAATCCCCTGCCGATCATCTTGCAGCTGAGTCGAACGATCAAGGTAATTTGTACACCCTGGTGCTTAAACGTGTTGAATACTTCAAAAACTAGATATGCATAGTCTATGCATTTATTTTTAATTAGTCTGCATTTTT